ATAATGCCTTACAAAGAGGTTTATTGAGTTCTCTGAGTTCATTCGCCAGCTGTGAAGTGAAACATCTGAAAACAGTTTTTGAATACTAAGTTCTCCCTGGCACCAGCACAGGAAAGGGAAACAGAGCCTTTTTCTGCTCAAGATTCTTATTCTGCTGGGCAGAGCCAGCTCCATGTGCAGAGCCCTGGGATGCTGGGTTATCATCCTACTGATCTTTATCTCTGTTGCACTCAGTGTATCCTGACCATGATTTGTGTTTTCACACAGACATTGGGGTACATCAGCTGGGGAGAGCCCATGGGGAAACCCACAGCTCTGAAGGCAGATTTTGGCAGATTATTTACCCTTTCCTTCAGCATGTCACAGCAAATCCCAAGTGGAATATGTGGGCTTTTCCTCTGGGAGACACCAGTGGGGAGGACCTGGGCATCTTCACCMCTTATTTATTTATTTACMCTTTCAAMATCCCCTCCTTGGARRTGACTTTTCTGCCTATCTGCAGAATTTTCCCTTTAAAATCGCCCTCCTGACAACATCCCAGCAATATGACTGCTGCTTCTTGGTGCCCTGATGAAGAGCTTGGAGAGATTTGTTTGCAAATGCCTTTTGTAGTAACCTCGGGGAAGCTCACATAAAAACAAGCTACAGTATTCTCTCTTCCCTGTGACTGTTCTTTGTCTTCAAGCAGCCATAAAAGAGGGCAATCAATAAACCTTGCCAGGGTCTTTTTAATGCTTTTTGAGCCATTATGGTCATAATGCTTCTTCGGGCTGCCGTGTCAATACACTCGAGACACTGAATATGTCAAAACCACATAAAATCTTTATTAAGATGAAATTAAATGAGCAGGCCCAAATCAGTAATTTAAATGGATATTATCCTTCAAGGATGCCAGACCTAGAAACCAGACACAACTGAAGAATTCAGGGCATTCCATTAGGATTGAATTGATGTGAAATTTAAACTTTTGCCACAGTTGCTGGGCAGGAGGAATTCAGGAGGGTGGGAATTGCTGTCAAGGTGCTCTGGACACCTGCCCTTTGTTTTCTGTTGCAGCCTTGGCCTGAGCTAAAAATGTGCAGCAAATCTGGGGCAGATGGGAGGAAAACAGTTATTGGTATGAAAGTTCAGTCTCTCTCTGCTYATCAAATTAACTCAGACTGAACAAAGGGAAAAAACCTCCCTTATTTATATATGGTTGGGGTGACAATGCATGGAGCTGCTCTGGGTGGCATTGCAGAGAGTCTTGCATGGCCATCCTTGGTGAGTGCACTCTTCTCCCAAATCCTCCCAAGCACATTATTGAGTCCCCAAAGCTACCAGTGCCATGCTCACATGGAGATTCTGGTGGCAGAACCACAGGCAGCTTTCAGCTTAGGGCTGCCACGCTCCTCCAGTCTTGCACAGAGGCTGCAGCCCCAGGTGTTTCCTCCTGCCAAAAGAAGGTGAGGACAAGCAGGATGTGTGAGAGCTGCCAGCACCTCGGGAAAGAAAAGCTCCAGTGGAGCCCCACTGGGCTGAGCAGGGGAGCAGCACACAGGGGAATGCAGCAGCAATGRCTTGGGCTGCTGTGGGCTGGATGGMAGCTCCCAGGAGGGTAAAATGGCTGTGATTTAACCCAGGGCAGCAAGGAGCTACTGCAGGTACCACGAGGTTGTTGGGACACAAGAGCTGGGCCCAGGCAAATCCACAGAGGGATTTTTCACAGGGGACGGGATCCAGCTGGATTTGCCTGGGCTCAATGCATCCCAGCAGCCTGCCCGGTTTGCTTTGCTCCACTTGTGAGCTCCTGTGCTGCAGCTCCACACTGCCTGGGACACGAGTGGGTACAGCCCCACCCATTGCCACTGCCCAGCAAGGGATCACAGACCTCCTGTGCCTCTGCAGGACCGGGACAATTTGCTCACCTTTAGGACCAGAAAGGCTCTGAGGARCTTGGGTTTGCATCTCCAGGCAGTGCCATCACTCTGGTGTCCCCTGCGAGCTGCAGGGTGGGGCTGGCTSCTCCAGGGGTTGTCACTTGTCTGGGGGTGTCACCTCAGCACTGTCCAGTGGGTTGGTTATAGGTGGGACAGCACCAGCTGGGTCCCTGAAGCACCAGCAGCCTTCCCCTGCCAAGGCATGGACCCCCTCCTCCCCCTGTCCCGATTCCAAATGGCACCAAGGGATGTCACCCCCTTTTCCCACTGGAGGACAGGGAATTTGCATCCCTTCTGCATTTTAATTGAGCGGCTTCTGCCTCATCAGGTGGGATTCTACAGCTTGCCAGGAGGATTTCGCTGTGCACAAAGGAGCTCTTTTTCTTCTCAGCGGAAAGCTGAAAAATTGCTCGGTTCCAGCCTATTTAGTTTTAATTGTTTCCTTTAGTTCTCATTGCCCACAGCAAAATATCACCTTCCCCTAACAACCAGCCAGGCTGGGAGCCAGTCACCCTGGCCAGCCGCTGTGCCATCCCTCCTGCTGCTCCCACAGCCCCCAGGGGTCTCGTCTCTGCTGGCAGGGCTGGGTTTTGGGGAGGGGGCATCACCCTCAGCAAGCACCGGGCAGGGAACAGCTGCAGAACAGTCACTGCTGTGCTGTCTCTGTGTCCCCAAGGTCTTTGCTGGCTGCTCTGGCTCCCTCCTGCTTGCAGACATCCACCTTTCCCAGCTAGATCACCTCTCCCCTGCTTCCCAGCCCCCTCCAGCAGCTGCTGAGGAGGGGCTGGCTCATAACTCCTGCTCCCAAGGTGGCTTTGAACAGAGAGGGATGCGTTGCTGAGGCAGAACACGATGCACACGGGGCCCTGGGGATGATGAACCGCAGAAGAGAAAAGCCTCTTCTCCCTCCCTTCACCAGGGTGGGCTTGGAGCACCTGTGGTTTTTTGGGAATGATGWGGTGCACTGCATCCCAGGTGAGCATCACCTCCAGGAACTCTGGACTCACTCCAGCTCCTAAGGCCTTCCACAGGGACACTCCSCTCCACAAAGAAAACAACCCTGTGCCAGAAGTGGAAAGCAGGGTCTTGCAACCTCAGGAAAAACTTGTGGAGACTCCTAAACCTTCTTGGAAGTTATGGGACCTGCAATATTCCCTTTCCATGCAGGCTCCATTCAGGGCCACAGCCAGACATGCTCCCAAGCAAACCTGAGCAACAGGTCAGGCTCAAGGAAATATTAACTTATTCCAGTATCAGGTATGGATGCAGAGCTGGCCATCAGGGTGAGACAGAAAAAAAAACCATACACAGAATGTCTGAGTAACCCTGATCACTGAATTTATTCCCAGGGTAAAAGATCTCTGSACCAGGGTTCAGCCTGATGCTGAGCACTGCCTGGGCTGGCACATCCCAGCCCGATGCCAGAGGTTCTCCTGAAGGTTTTCCTCTGCTCAGTTCTGGGGAAGAGCTATAAAACAAAGGCTTATAAATTAATTACCTAAAAGAGCAGCAGAATGTTATTAGATACTTGGGAGTTAATTGCACTGATGCTAATCACATGTATTTTAATGGCACCAGCAGAGGTGTGATATGTAATTCCATAGGTATTCCAGAATAATTTAGCAATTTAATTAATTTCTGCTAATACCTTTTAAATCACCTGCCCACTTCCTCTTATGTTCCCTGTGGGAAAGGGGAAAGAAACTTTTCCAATCGGCTAAATCTTTTGCAAACTCACTTTTCTTGGCMAAGATACTGTTTTATTTCTCAGTGGATTTAATTAACATTAGAGTTATCCCTGGGTAACAGGGTGGCCAAGCAAGACTGCGATTGCCTGGTTCTAAAATTGGAACTCTGGATCAGGGACGGTTGAAAAGTTTTGAACAGATTGTGATGGGCTGAGAAGATGGAAACTAAAATGATTTGTGGATTTAGGTCAAATTCGGTGAGCAGAGCCAGGGGAAAAAGTGGAAGAGAAATGTAAGCAGCACCAGGCATTTTATTCCATCTCCTCAAAATGAAATGTTTGGTTTAGAGAAAGCAAAAATATCCCTTTTCACATGTTTAAGATGCAGCTTTTCTGCTTGTCTCCATGTGCCTCCCCCCAGGCTCAGGCAGCTGAGGCACACCCAGCCCCGGGGCAGCATTTCAGCTGGAAAAATTATTTATTTCCTTTCTGCACCCACCCTGCTCAATGCAGGCAGGGCACAGAACCTCGGGACGGCACTTGGGAGCCCAGGGGAGGTGGACAGCAGAGGAGACAGGAGATTTGAGCTGTATGAGAGGTGATCCCCTCCCTCCCACGCTGGCAGAAAACAAACCACCAGAAGCCATTGCTCTCACGGGGCTTTTATTGTCGGGCTGGCCCTCGTCTTTCACCCTGCTGCCCTTGCTGAGCTCGTCATCACCACCCAGACCTGCAGAGGAGTCCCCAGCCCAGCTCAGCCCAGCCCCAAGCCCAGCCTCCTGCCCAGGGCAGAACACCCTTCCCGGCTCTTTTTGGGGGGTTGGTTGTTTGTTGGGGTTTTTTTTTTTTTTTTTTTTTTTTAATGTTTATTTTAAAAATATAGTAGCTGTGGAAAGCAGCCCTCTTTATAAACGCTCGATGCCGGAGTGAAATGCATCATCACCATCCTCACCCCTAATCCCTCCGGGGCTCCTGTGCCTGCCGGAGGGTTGGGGAGGCTGCTCCGGCTGCTGCAGGCAGGGAGGCTCTCGATGGCARSGAGAGAGAGGGAGGGAGGGACCCTTCTAAAAATAGAAATATTGTGCTGAGTTGTTCGGAGTGAATGAAATACATAAAACACCAGCATTCGATTAGCTTTAGCTCGTCAACTATTGCTCCCGGCAGAGTCGGCGCAGTGCGCGGGTGGAGGCTCAGTCCCCCTGGGCCCCCAGCCCCTCTCCCCACCGCAGGGCTCCCTGCTCTCGCCCACCACAAAGACACCGGCCCCCAGGGCAGCCCGGGCGCCCCCGGAGCCGATATAAATAGGAAACTGTAAACACAACCATTGGAGATAAAGAGACATCTACGATCACAGGGTTTACTGCTTCGAACGCCCCACCCTCCCCACCCCCCGCTCCATCCGCACCCCTATGCCCTTGTCCCCACTCCGTAAAAAGGTCTCCAGTAACAAAATCTTCGATCCAGGCTTGGAGTAAAGGTGAGGTTGTCGGGGAGTAAAAAGGGACATCGCAACCTTAGCGGTCTTTGCTCGGGAAGGGAGATGGTGGGAGGAGTGGGAGAGGGGGTCAGCTGGTTCAGGTCCTTTGCAAGTCCATTTGGTTTGTCTGGAGGACTCCTAGGGTTATACCTGAGATGAAGACGTCGAGAGGACACTCCATAGCTCAATTAGAACGCGGTCGGTGGTTTTGTGCCTAGAAGAGCCCTCGCTGCCGGGATTTGTCTGTCGCGCTTGCACCGGGCAGCAAGAAAGCAGCGTCACCCCCCTCCCGCTGGGCACGGGGCCGTCTGAACCAACGCTGGGCTGGGRCGTCCCTCATGTGTCCAGGATCTCGCTGGTGGGCGACGGCTCGTGGGGGATGCCCTGCGCGCTGTGGATGGTCTGGTTGTGCGAGAGGGAGTTCTGCTGGAGCTCCAGGGCGATGGCGTTCTGCGGRAACTCCTTCACCTGCCGCTTGTACTCCAGGAAGGTGCACGCCTTGGTGGCGATCGCGATGATGTTCTTGCCGATGAAGATGGTGGAGACCCTGCTGTCCTGGAACAAGATCATGTTGACGGCGCGGATGAAGATGGTGACGATGTTGATGGTGACCAGGCTGAGGACGGGGTAGAGCATCATTTTCTGCGGGGCGATGTGCTCCCCTTGCATGCTGATCTCGCTGAGCGACACGCAAGGCAGGATCAGGAGCAGGATGTAGCAGTAGAAGAACATGAGCCCCTCTGCCCAGATGGGCAGGCCGGTCCTGTGCGGCTCCCACAGGTTGGCCTGGATGTCCAAGATGTCCAGCAGGTCGAGGGCCACCCAGAAGAGGCGTCCCCGCAAGTCCTCTTTCTTCCGGAAGGTCCGTATGTACTCCATGCTGTCCAAGGCCACCAGCACCAGGTAGAGCCCCGGCACACAGATGGAGAGCAGCAGGGTCAGAGCTTTCCTGGCCACCGTCTCCAGGTTCTTCTTGTCCGCTTTGTAATTCTGGAAGATGAAGTACAGCTTGATCTCCAGCACGAAGATGTAGAGGAACCACAGGATCATGGCGTAGCCCCGCTTGGCCGTCTTCACCTCGGCCCCCACCCACACGGCCACGTAGCGCAGCACGATCAGGAAGCAGATGTCCCCCACCAGCACGATGATGCAGACGCCGATCTTGCGGGGCCCTTGGTTCTGCTCCACCAGGTAGGCGTCCATGAAGGCCATGCTGGTCATGATGACGATGGTGGTGAGGCAGACGTGGCGCTTGTCGGGCGGCGGCAGCACCATGGTGAGGCGGGCTGCCCTCCGCGCCTCGGCGCCGGCACTAGGGGAGCGCTCCCKCCGGCGCTGCGCGGGGGCACATCCGCGGCGAGCCCAGGGACCGAGGGTGGCTCTGTCCCCCACCGCCACCCCGGGGAGAGGCGCCTGCAGCAGCAGCGGCTCAGCGGGCAGCCCCGCTGTCCCGGGGCTCGGGCCGGCCGCTGCGGACCCCAGCCCGGCCCTTCGGCCCTCGGCGGCCGTGCCCTGCAAGCAGCGCGCCTCCGCCCCCAGCCCAGGGCTGGCTGAGCAGCCCAGCCCCAGGCACCCTCCGCCACCGGCAGCCAGGGCTCACGGCTGTGTGGGGCCTCCCGGAGGAACGTCCCTCCTCTGTGGTGGGTCCCCCATCGCTGTCAGGCTCTCCAGCAATCCTATGGCACTAGTAGGTCTCCAGGCTCCAACCCCAAATCCTGGTATAGATCCCTGGAAATGCAGTAGGTGATGGAGCAGAAAGGGAGCTCCCCCTCTTCCCGGTGAGACCCCACGTTCCTCCAGGCTCTGGAGGGGTCCTGCTGTGTCCTCACAGGGAATCACCTTCACTCGTATCCCCACAGGGCTGTGCTGCTCTCCTGCCGCTCCCAGCTGTACACGCATTCCTCCATTCCTGGAAAAGATAGTGGAGAACAAGCATTAGGATCCCTCTGTGTGCTGACCATGGAATGGTGACAATGACAGCCTCCTCAGCTCCCAGCACACGGTGGTATGAGCTGGTTTCCCATCAGGTACCATCCCTCCCCTGGGCACCCATCACCACGCCCTGTGCATGACAATGCAGAACAGCTTTTTATTGAGTATGAACACAGTGCAGTGTCCTGCATGGACACACTGTGCTGCCCTTACGTGGGCAATCCCTGWCCAGAGCTCCTCAGCAAGCCCACGCCCTGGGTGCTTCTGCTGTTTCTGCAGCACAGACACMAACCCACAGCCCTGATGGAGACGTGCAGGTTCACGGCATTCCCAGCTCCGGGTATCCCCAGCTCCAGCAGGGACACAGACCCACCTGCTACTGCAGAGATCCCAGCCTGGGGACAGCTCTGCTTAACACAGTCATGGCGTTTTACCATTACTGAGCAGCTCTCAGGGTGTGGGATACATCCCTCCTTGAGTAGGGGTGAGGTTAGGGCTGGCACATGGGGGACGGGGCAAAGCTGTCCCCAGGGTGGCATGAGGTCCTGGCAGCTTCCTAGACCGGTTCAGCTGCTCATGGCCACAGCTCCTTCCYRCCATGCTGTGCCTGCCTAATTAATTTGTTAACCTTTCCTGTACAGGGAATGCACTCCCAGAAATGAACAGGTAGGWCCCAGTGCACTCAAAAATGTCACTGAACTGCCTACATGGAGACAGACCACAGTCACAGCCACAGGGGCTGGAGGGARGAAGCCAAGCCCAAGGAGGTGTAAGCCATTAAAAACCTGCCCTACTTTGCAGCTCCTTATGTTTATGGGGCCTCATTTAAATAAAAGCTGGATTSTCTCCTGCTTCAGGGAGACAAGAAGAACAAAGAAGAGAAAGTGGGAAGCCAGATGAGTCAGAGCCAGGCCTGCCTTGTGCCTGAGTAGGTGGACAGCAGGAACGCGTGTACCTGTGCCCTGGTTTCCACAGGATGTGGCAGGCAATGATGTGGCATTCAGCAAACGTTAGCGAGGTACTTGAAGTTGCTCCCCAGCCAGGAGACCCTCAGGATATTCTTGTCACCAGCAAGGAAAACWGGCGTGTTAAAATAATTTCTCAAGCAGGAATTGCTCAGAAAGAAACCAAAAAGATGTGTTGGGAATTTGCRGTGCTTCGCAGGCAGCCCCGCTCTCACCAGCGTGGCTCTCTGCAACATCTCARAGCTGCCGTTTGGGGCTTCAATTTCTTCTTTCTCGAGGTTTTGGATAAAAATATACAGTCATTGCCGTAACTGCCTTAAAACTCATGCCAAGTTTTACAGGGGATTTATAGCCAAGGATAGATAATTCCAGATAAATTAGGTCTTTCAGGAGGGAACAGAGGCTTTTTTTCCTTTTGCCCTGTAAGTATTTATGCCTTCAAAAGACAGCGGTTATTTAAAGGGCAGTGGGTTGCATCACAGCACGGCGAGGTTAGGAAGCAGCTTGCTTGTAAATCCTGCACCTCTGCCCTGTGCGATCTGGGGAGCTGGGGGAAGGCAAAGCTCCCAGCCCAAGCTCTCCTCGCCTTCGTGAAAGCAGACAGAAAACCCTTTCCTGCCTCCTGGTGAACACCCGGGGCACCGAAAGGTGTTAACTCACGGTGTTTACAACAGCAGCCAACAAGTCTTTAACCACCAGTGTGGAGCAGATCGTTTTCAGMAAAAAAAAAATCATGTTCAAATGGCAGGAACTTCCCTGGCCTCTGCTCCTGAAGGGCTCACGGCGGCTCGGGCTGGGTTTGACAAACATGTTCATTTGTTGTGGTGACCTTTCGGAGCGGAGGAAGGGGACTGCGGGGCCGGGCTGAATCACAGGGCTGGAGCGCTGCTTCCTCCCGGGTCAAATCATGCATTAACCAGGGTGAGCACCTCTCTTGCCTTCTGCAAATTGTTTCCAAGGCACTCGCTGCGGGGCAAGCTTTTCTCCTTGTTTTCCAAGGGCTGGTGTTTTCYTCACCCCTTGCAGCCCCGGTGCTACAGGGAAACACGGAATTCTCTGCAGATCCACAGAGCAGACTTTGCCCATCTGAGTGATCCCTGACCATCCTGTCAGGTAGGGGGGCACATAAAACTCTTCTTGGAGGACTATCAGAAAAAAGYAGGTTGTTTTTAAACAACCATCACTTCGTAACTTTTAAATGACTGCATCTGACAGTACGTTCAGAAACTTCTTGAGAACTGTGCTGACTAAACAAGACATTAAACATCTCAGAGAGCCAGAAGAGCACATCTGAGGGAAATATTTGTTTAGACAAGTATTCACAAAACTTTCTTCCTGCAASAATTCTTGTAAAGAGAAGGCAGCCCACCCAGACATAACGAGCTCGGAGCGTTATGGGTGTCAGCGAGCCAGGCTGGCAGCTCCCTGTGGGAAGGGATCTGACAGTTTCTGCATCATGCTTGGTGCCAGGGCTCTGAAGAGCAGGTACTGCAGCAATGCTTCAGTCTTGGCAGCTGTGGGCCTCCTTACCAGGACGAAATTCAATCCCTAATTGCTCCTTCTCCTCTGCTTCCACCCTACAMGAASAGCTCCATTGCACTGGAGTGAGYAGATGCCCTCAATAACACYCCCGRCAGTGKGGGACCAKCCCCAGRGCAGCACCCAGCCCCACCAGTGCAGACCAGCAGGATGGGATGGGCATGGGGAGGGGGAGCAGCAGCACAGCCCCACTCCATCTCTGGGGTGTGCTTGGGGATACCCCATTTCCCTGCCAGCCTGCCCTTCCCCAGCTTCCCTGCAGGATGGGAGAGGCATCAGTGGGAATGGAGACAGCTGCTGATTTCCTGGAGAGACTCAAGGATCCTGCAGACGGCTCCAAACCCAGCTGAAAGGCAGGGTTTGCAGTCTCACCTCTGCTCTGCCTCCTCTGGCACCGAGGCACAGGGAGCAGCCCTGGTGCAGCCAGCCCTTCCCCTATTCCTCTGGTGCCTCTGCACCGTCTGAGAAGTTATTTCTTGGTCTYGCACCTCTTCTCCCAGCCCTCCAGGACGCTATAAAGCACTTGTGGTTACCCAAGGACATGCGGTCGTAGCCTTGCTCCACCACCAGCCCAGGCAGTTCGGAAGAAAATTAAACTGTGTTTTTCCCGGCGATGGCGGTAGCTCGTTGCGGGGTGATTAATTACCGCCAGCTCTGCCCTTTCCGGYGCCTGCAAACCGCAGCCACCCATCACCGTGCCCTCCTGCCCCTTCTCCTGCCTGTGCTCAACGTGTAGCACCACACCCCAGAGCTGTGAGGATGCAGGAGCTGCTGGTATCCCCCCAAATCCCGTCTCCTACCCTGGGGAGCAGGCGGCTGCAGACGAGCCTGGAGGGCTCGTGGAGCCACTGGCAAAACAGTCTCGTTAACGCCAGCAGGCGCTTCCCAAAACCCAGCTCTACCTGGCAAATTAATTTAARTTATTTATGTCATTTGAATTCTGTCTATTTTTAAAAAAGGGAGTGAGACAGAGGTATACACAACGCTCTTCCCGGGTAATTAGGATGCCGCAATGCTTAAAGCTTCATTTGCACTTTAATTGCTTTGATTTATTCCAAGCTTTCCCGAGTGCAAACGCAAAGCTCCCTCTCACTTTAGTCCTTCAGCCCCCTCGAGAGTCGCTGCCCCACCACTCTCTTTTCCCAGCTACAGTGCCCATCCTGTCTCCAGCCCGGGCAGGAGGAGGCAATGGGCACAACMAACACTGCTGGGGACTTCAGGGCAGCTGTGGCAGTGCCACCAAGGCGATGGCATCACTCCCTGGCAGCCGGCTGCGCTTCAGGGAGCCGCTGGATTGCAGCCAAGTGACCCGCAGGCTGCAGAGTTCGGGCACAGGCAGCGGCTGCTCCTCGCTTACGCGATTTGTGACCCCCTGAACCACCTGCGGCTCTGTGCACAGCATAAGCACGGGGCTTAGAGACAGGGCAAACTACTCTGACTGAGAAAAAAACTCTAAATCAGGTCATCCCCGAGCCATTGCATGTTCCTGCATCACCTCACCGACAGTCGGAGGCGGTGGGTGTCAGGTTCAGCTTCCCTGACCTGCCCGGGGCAGTCCCTGGGGACAGACAGACGGACAGACGGATGGGTGGAGGGAGGATACTCCTACCCCAAGGAACAGGGAAAGTCGCTGGGCAGCGACTGTGCCCTGCCTCCTCCAARGCAGTACCGGCCTCTCAAGTGCATCCTGTGAAGGAAATGAGATTGAGGACGATTTTTCCGGCCCCTGCCCACTAATTGTGTCTGAAGGAGGAAGCAGCCCACTTGCTAATGATTACAGATCATTTACTGTGTAGGCAAGCACCAAGGAACGGGGAAAGAGCTGCAAACTGTTCCTAGAACCTGCTCAAAATAAACAATGCCATGTCAGACAAAACCAGCTCCTGCTTGTACCAGTGAGTGCATCAGCTGCAAACCCCCTCAGTCCCCTCCGGGCTTCATTTCACCCCCCCTTTCCCAAAAACTAACACAAGCAGAAGGCATCAGAACAGTTGCCTGAGTAAGAAAAAAAAAAATAAAACCACCCTCTCAATCACATCACTTTGGTGATGGGGTGGGGAAATGCTGCTTGCCCAAAACAGAGCCCTGCGCTGGATGGATGGATGGATGGATGGATGGATGGATGGATGGATGGATGGATGGATGGATGGATGGATGGATGGATGGATGGATGGATGGATGGATGGAACAAAAAGCCAGCCTTTTTGTTCCCAGTTCTGTCCCCCACAGCCACCCTGGGCAGGGCTCTCTTGCTGGCACAGGCAGCTGCAGCTGCCAGGAACATCTCCCCATTCACAAACGCACTGAGTCTGATGATACTTGACAGACGTGTCAAAAGAAAAAAAAAAAAAAGCCTTTTCAGATGTTTCAGGTGTTTAAAAATAGTTAAAGAAGGTAAATGATTCATTTTGACTCGTACATAAAACGTGAAATTATAATACTATGTTTTGATTCTACCAAAACAATTTAC